ACCTGGGAAAAACCTTCAGGGCATACCGGTGAACATATGACTGGCAGCAGACCTTCCTGGTATCCAGAGGAAAGCTCGGCTGAACCGGGATTTGGAAGCAGACCGACCTGGGAGAAACCTTCAGGGCATACCGGTGAGCATATGACTGGCAGCAGACCTTCCTGGTATCCAGAGGAAAGCTCGACTGAACCGAGATTTGGAAGCAGACCGACCTGGGAGAAACCTTCAGGGCATACCGGTGAGCATATGACTGGCAGCAGACCTTCCTGGTATCCAGAGGAAAGCTCGGCTGAACCGGGATTTGGAAGCAGCCCGACCTGGGAAAAACCTTCAGGGCATACCGGTGAACATATGACTGGCAGCAGACCTTCCTGGTATCCAGAGGAAAGCTCGGCTGAAACGGGGTTTGAAAGCAGACCGACCTGGGAAAAACCTTCAGGGCATACCGGTGAACATATGACTGGCAGCAGACCTTCCTGGTATCCAGAGGAAAGCTCGGCTGAAACGGGATTTGGAAGCAGCCCGACCTGGGAAAAACCTTCAGGGCATACCGGTGAACATATGACTGGCAGCAGACCCTCCTGGTATCCAGAGGAAAGCTCGGCTGAAACGGGGTTTGAAAGCAGCCCGACCTGGGAAAAACCTTCAGGGCATACCGGTGAACATATGACTGGCAGCAGACCTTCCTGGTATCCAGAGGAAAGCTCGGCTGAACAGGGATTTGGAAGCAGAACGACCTGGGAGAAACCTTCAGGGCATACCGCTGAACATATGACTGGCAGCAGACGTCCATGGTATTCAGAGGAAAGCTCAGCTGAAACGGGATTCGCCAGAGAAACGACTTGGGCAGATGTTTCGGGTTACACAAAGAAACTTTCCACCGAGATATACAGTCCATAAGGACAATCCAGAACTGAAAAAAAAACTTCCACAAGCTTAGTTTGAAAAAGAAGCTTAGAGCCTTGAGTTCACTTGGAAGCAAAGCCTCCTTGTACTCAAATGTGCTAAAGTGTGCGTGTAATGAAAACTGATATTGGATTAAATTTGCTATAATTTTATTTATAATATATACAGAGAAAAGCTTTTCGCTACAAATTGATTACTGTAATGCAAATAAAACGGTATTTGAAATCACAATGTAATTGAAAATTCACTATGTATTTATGGAATTAAAGAGTTACCAGAACAAACATTTTGATCATGGTACAAGATTTAATTTTTCAGTCAACCAGCCGGAGGCCGACTCCGAATAATTAATTTCTCGGCTGAGACGAGATCACTCACTCAACCAGAGCTGCTTAAACTGACACACTTGCAACGTACAACTTACAAGCACGAGTATTACACATGTTGCAATATATTGTGAAATAATTTTGCTCAGTGGCCCGGTTTGACAAAAAGTTTATCATACATTTGCATAAACCAAAAAAAAGTAATTTTTAATAATTTGGAAACGAATTTTTTCTATATTTTGAAAATTTATTTTGAATAAGAAATAATTTTGCCACACGCTGGAATAAAAAAAATTAATAACAAAAACAATTTTAAAAATACCAAAAGCAATTTTTTAAAAACTATGAAATTGTTTGATAGGCATTTTTCATACTCTATGAAATTGTATGATAGGCATTTTTTCCATAATAAAAAATGCAAAAAAAAAGTTTCGAAAATTTGTGTTTTGTTCATAAGAAAACCCAAAGTTAAACTGCAGTTGGTGATATCAGCCATGTTGTAAGTTAATGAAAACTTTTTCACTCGATTTCTATTCTAAAATCCTAATTTTTTGTATATGGCTAGAAAAGTTTCACTTTGAAAAATTTGGTGCTTGAGAAAAAACACTTGCTCGAGATTTTTTGATTTTTTGGGTGAAGAACTCAAACTGGACTTTGTTTTAGACAAAATGTATCAAATGTTGCGTGCAATATTAATTTTTATAAAATGTTTAAATGGGCACAGAAGCAAATATGCAATCAAAAGAGAGATAAAAATATTTGTTACCTCAAAAATGTATTTTTTCTATGAACAAATGCACATCATACAATTTTCTCATACAAAATTGTATGATGAATATTTTTAGCTCAAAAAAATTTTTTTGATGCCGAAGTCGCTCTCTTGTAATCAAAACTGCCACTAATTTGTATCGTTTGAGTTTTACACCAGATAAGTTTCAAGAAAAAAAATTGATTGAAAAATGCTTATAAAACGCTTTTCTTCTATGGAAATTGTACGATAAAATTTTTTTCATAGACTCCATATATGAAACCGTATGATAACCATATTATCCAAAGAATCCATATAAAAAGCGCATAGAGTCAACCCATGGTTATTTATTTTTTTGTCAATCAACACTACAAAGCCAAACTGTACCTTTTGCGACCTGTAGTTTAATAAGCCACAAGCTTCATTTTTATTTAATTGTTGTCCACAAACAAATTGCTAAATCATTACTCAGTTTTAAAATCTAAGATCGTTTCTTTGATTGTTCCGCTCTTTGCAGATTGGCAAAACAGAAAATAAGGAGACTAATTGTACGTTACGAGATATTTTTTAGGGGACCCCAAAAACAGTTTGAGAACAAGTTTTAAGACTTAGCATACATGCACCGAACATTGTGTATCCAGGCAAAACTTGGCCTTGTAATGAAGATTCAGTTTCCAAATCAATGTTTAAAACAAGACTTAAAAAAAACAGTTCATGATTCTTTAAACTTAAAATAAGCTTAAAAGATTTTTGATTCTTTTGAAAATCTTCTTGGCTTGCAATTTGACGTTCAGTGTCCAACTTGGGATATTAAATTTACGCGAAATTAACCTGTACGCAGCGAAAGCATAACACTCAACTGACCAACAAAAATAAATTCAAGCAAATTAAAGGATCTAACTTTTTAGTGCAAATTTTAACATCTTGTATATAGGATCATTGCCTTTGAAGCAAAAAAAAACTGAATTTTTTTTAAAATTTTCTAAAAATTGAGATTAAATAATCTTTTTAACCAAAAAATACACTTCAGAAAATTTTAAGAACAGTTATAAAACTGAAGGTTTTTGGTTATGAAATTTAGTCTGGTATTGAAATCAAAAAAGAAACAAAAACTAGCATCTGAGGTACTGTCTTCCACTGAAACTAAACGCCGCCTAACTTATTCTATTTATTGAATGATTTAAAAATCTAACAAAGTTTTAGCCAATTTTGTTGCGCAATTGTTTCAACATTTGCGCGTGGGGTAATGTGAGAAAAATAGCGAAAACTTTCGGCATGAATAGTCGACTACAGTTGTTAACTAAAATTGAAAGCAACAAAAAAATTAAAGTTTGGAAAAATTTTTCTAACAGAAAGTGGTTTTGTTCTTAAAAGGAAAAAAAATCATGGGAAAGGAAGCGGTATATAAAGCTTTGAACAAAATTAATTTTACATTGAAATCAAACAATTGTTTGTATCTTTGAAAACAAAACATATTGACCTATTATAAGATATACTGGCTTGAATTCTTTGCTCAAAACTAGACTAAAAGCCAATTTTTGAGCCGTTTTTATATGGAAAAAAACTTCTGTTGTTGTTACATTCGCCAGTTTACTCAGCTGATTCTAATGATTGTTTTTAGCAACCAATTTCGCGTGTAAAAAATTATTTGAATACTAAAACCTAATTTAAGCCACAAAAACAATAGTGAAAAAATGGAAAGTTTAATTTTTAATTTTTAGGAAACTGGGAACAAAGCTGATCAATAAAATTATGGCGTTCAGTGAATTTTTTTCCAAGCACACTTCGATACCTCAGCAAACGCTTCATTAGTGAGGTATGGCATCATGTTATGCAATTTTTTGCAATTCCTTGTAGCATTATGAGATAACTTCGTTGTTTTTGATATTCGGCCGAGATCTTTAAGCATTTTTCAAAGATATTACAGTTTAACGGGGCTGACAACTATATTTTTTGGGCGCAGATTCAAAATCATTGCTGTTTGAGAGAAGGCCAGTACGAAACAAAAGATGCATAAACAAATTAGGGTTGAGTTTTAACAACATGTGTCGAAGTCTCCAATGTTTCAGATCCAAGAAGTGTCTTCTATATCTATACGGATAGCCTGATAACTAGATCTGTAACTCTTAGCATCAGCATCTCATTTCAAATGTGGCTCCGAGAGAAAAAAAATATGGTCTAGGGCATTGATTTTTTCAATTGTGAAGAGATTTAAAACAAATATTGTTTTTTAATGTTTTTCAAGGCATCGATCCATAAACACCTCTCGCATTCATATGATCATTGAGATTTTAAATCATAAACTGTGATGCTTAACCATTGCAATATTTATTTTCGAGCTTAGTTTGTTCATGGGATCTTTTCGTGTTCTATGTTTTGTTATTGTTTGAATTATTTAAAGACTTACACCTACTCGAACACATAGTTACTCTTCACTTTCCTTGATCGTAACAATAAATGATTGCTAATTATTCAGCAGTTCAGTATCGAAGAAAACCAAATTTAAGCCAAAAAATAATAGTGAACTAATGGGAAATTTAATTTTAATTTTTAGGAAACTGGCAGCAAAGCTGATCGAAAAAATTATGGCGTTCGATGAAATTTTTTCGGAGCACACTTCAATACCTCAACAAACGCTCCATTAGTGAAGAGTGGCATCCTGTTATGCAATTTTTGCTGTGATTCGCAAAAA